TGAAGGATCTTCACATGGCCCAGTGGATAAAGACGTTGGTTAGATCCAGTGACTAACTTCTAGTGATATAATGGCTGTCTATATCTCTGAGATGAGGTTTTATGATTACTTACATTATTTACATTATTCCGACTGTTATCCTCATCTTCATTGCCATATTCACAAGGACACATGGCCCAGTGGATAAAGACGTTGGTTAGATCCAGTGACTAGCTTCTAGTGATATAATGGCTGTCTATATCTCTGAGATGAGGTTTTATGATTACTTACATTATTTACATTATTCCGACTGTTATCTTCATCTTCATTGCCATATTCACAGTGGATAAAGGACACATGGCCCAGTGAATAAAGACGTTGGTTAGATCCAGTGACTAATTGCCTTCTAGTGATATAATGGCTGTCTATATCTATATCTCTGAGATGAGGTTTTATGATTACTTTACATTATTTACATTATTCGGACTATTTATCCTCATCTTCATTGCTATATTCACATTATTTACATTAGACTGGGACACATGGCCCAGTGGATAAAGACGTTGGTTAGATCCAGTGACTAGCTTCTAGTGATATAATGGCTGTCTATATCTCTGAGAGAGGTATTATGATTATTTACATTATTTACATTATTCCGACTGTTATCCTCATCTTCATTGCCATATTCACAAGGACACACAGCCCAGTGGATAAAGACGTTGGTTAGATCCATTAGTGACTAACTTCTAGTGATATAATGGCTGTCGATGAGGTTTTAGACTTACATTATATGTCTGATATCCCTGAGATGAGGTTACATTATTTACATTATTTGATTACTTACATCATTTACATTATTCGGACTGTTATCCTCATTTTCATTGCCATATTAACAACGTTTCGACCGTTGTAATCAGCTGATTGGAATTTCGAACAGCACCCTTTTTTTTGTCCACCGGGGTAGATTTTTCTAGTACCACGTGCCATGCCTCATCCCTGATCTATCAGTTATTTTCCCATTAATCAGCTCTCTAAATTATTCGGTTCCCCATTACTGTAGCCTGCTATTTTAAAATCCTTAGAAAAGTTAGACGCAGGGAACGATTTTCGTTGAGCTCAGATTCAGGCTTGCCAGATTATGCGATGTTAAAAATATATATTAATATATTATACTAGACATTATCGTTACTTTCGTGGCTCAAGGGAGTAACTCTTAATTTCCTGTTGTATCCAAAATTGCCACTAGGTTAAATTTAAAGTAGCTCCCGTGGAGGACTCTTGGTTTGTCCATCATCACAATAGTTAGGGAAGATTAGATTCAACAGGCATCAATAAACTACAGAAGAACTTAAAATTGATCGCTGCATTTAAGTATTGAATTAATGTTTAAGCTTACCTTTTAAAAGTTCAAAAATAATTCTTCCGCTGCCATTTTAATTTAAAGACGATTTGATGTATGTAGATCCTTATTTTCCGTACAAACAATTATTTTTATTTCATGGGTGACAGAAGAGGGGACAATTTATAAGATAAAATTAATATAGAGTAAAGATGGGAAACTAGAAATTAGAATTAGTTATACATTCAATATTTGAAGAGTTAGAGAAACATAATTGCTAATTAAGTAAAACCTATATTATGGAATCTATATGAATAAATGCGAAATTGGAGCTCAGTTCTCCCACGAATTCTGAGATTAAAAAGCCCTAGCTCTACTTTTTAGTAATTTGGTATTAACTCGACCCCTGTATATTACGAAATGGACTAAGTCCGACAATTATTTTAATATATTTTCTCTTTATACGTTATATTTATAGATACAAATATTAAAGTAAATTCTCTGCGTATCTTATATTGTTAAGGTTATAGCCGCCAATGTAAAATCCTGGTAGGATTTCCAATTCTCTAATGGTAACAGAATGTTTCATGTCAGACAACATTGTGCCAGATTTTTTTATGTTACAGATTTACAGTCTGTGAACCGGCACATCTGTATAGAAATATTTCCTATGCGTGCAAATGTTCCAATTGTAACGTCGCAAGCCTCTCGATATTCTCAAGGCGAATGTTCTGATGAGCTATATTCGTTTCTTCTGCCAGTTCAGGCCTTCACAACTAAGAACTGACATTCCGTGTAAGCAGGGTTGAATTCTAACCATTTCTTTAGAACTCCATTGGTAAGAAGGAAGTTCAATTCGGCCATCTCATCCTAAAGAAACGTTACAGTGATGTTTCTCCGATCACTATAATCTCATCCTCTTCATGTCCAGGGTCAACCAATATCTTTCCTACGTATCCACATAAAGTGCAATTTGTACCTCCTCTTACGCTGATATAGCAGGCTCATTCACTATCCCTCTACCTCGAGTGGCTCTTGCGGCTTGTACTGAGTGAAGAATTAAATGCACAATACAAAACGTTTTAGGATTTTTTATTGTTTTGTAATAAATCATGGAAACTTTGGTACATACCTAACCTATATTTACAAATACTCTCTCTCTTTCTCTCTCTCTCTCTCTCTGTGTTTCTCTCATTTTCTTTCTCACTATTTTTCTCTGTCTTCTTTTCCCTTTCTCTCTCTCTGTCTCTCTCTCTTTCTCTCTCTCTTCGTTTTTTTTCTTTTTCTGGTTCTTTCTCTCTATCTTTCTAGAGACTTTCTCTCTCTTTTCCTCTCACTCTTTCTCCCGCTATTTCTCTCAAGCTCTTTCTTTTCTCTCTCTCTCTCTCTCTCTCTCACTCTCTCTCTTTCTATCTCTTTCTCTTTCTCTCGTTCTTTCTCTGTCTCTTTCTATCGCCTTCTCTCCCTTCTTCTCTCGCTCTCGCTCTCCCTCCCTTTCTCTCGCTCTTTTTCTACATCTTTCTCTCTCTCTTTCCCTCGTTCTCCTCTTTTTTCTCTCGCTTTCTTCCCCCTCTCTTTCTTTCCCTTCTCTTTCTCTCTTTCGCTTTCTTTCTAGAGAGAAGGAAATGCGGTGTGTGAGAGAGTGCTTGCATATGTCTGGGTATATCGTTGGTCGTACACCGCCTTCAGGTCATTTTTGACGGGCATTAACGTTATTAGTAATTGATTGCAGAATCCCAACCTCCCACACCACGGCCGGCCATTTTCATAGCCTGATCACCATTAACATGTTAACTTTCTAGCAATACACCAATTATTTCCCGCTCACAATTCTCTGGTCGCAAAGCTTAAATAGCGAAAAGTGGACGTGACTTCGTTTTAATCTATCGTGGATGTGATCACTATCCCTTTTCTTGTTTGTCTCTAATCACACGCGCCAATGACTTGTCACACACTGCTCGTCGTGACAGATTCGTCACGCAAATACCAGCAGTCGTAGAATTGGCGGGTTTATGAGGAAAGCCAAATTCTACAGGAAACATGAGATTCTGTTTTATGGTCGCAGACCGATGGAGTCGTCTCTATGGGTCGGTATTCCACCCGATTTAAAACAACCAATGAGCTCTTCAAAAATATACCAAGAACGGCTTGCGCAATTTTCATATAACCCGACATCCAAGCATAGGAGACATTACAGTGCATACAGTTTCTTTCTTTTATATGCCCTGTCCCTTCTGCGATCATAGCCCTCCACTTCTCCCTATCATTTGTAGTTTCTCCATTTGCTACTTGAGGAATAACAAATGCATATATATATATATATATATATATATATATATATATATATATATATATATAGGTAAATAATAGGTCTAAATAGGTCATAGTCTGGTAACTCCTTCTCCACCAATACTAAGTATGATTGAGAGAGATATGAAATTAATCCCTCCCTATACTCTACCATGTCTCTTTAACTACTCCTTTTACACTCTCTGTTAAATTACAAAAACTTATACTACCCATCAATTTTAATTTCATTTTTCGTTTCATTTCGTTGTTGGAAGTGCTATCTGATGATCCGGCGTCCCTTTAAAAGGACTCTGGTGAAATAAATTATTATAATGGTACCTTAACGTGGTCTGTTTTTCTTATATATATATATATATATATATATATATATATATATATATAGATATAGATATAGATATATATATATATATATATACTAGTAATAATCTTATAGATATAAGAATCTATACTGCTCGGAAAACCTTCGGTGTCTTAATTTGCAAATAATCAAACCAATACCAAAGGGAAAAAAAGGTATAAAAAAGACCCGATACGTGTAAGTAAAATAACTATTAAAAAAGTGCCCAATACGCTAAGTAGAGCAGACCTAATTAAACCTAAAGAGCCAGACAAACCTACCAAAGTTTCACATACGCGGATCGTCAGGGAAGGCTGGCTTCCCTGACGATCCGCGTAGGTGAAACCTTCCTAGGTTTGTCGGCTCTTTAGGTTTAATTATATATATATATATATATATAACCCTGTTCTATCATCCACTTTCTTAAGCACGCTAGGTATGTCATGCATTGCTTTATCTTGCCTCTCTTTCTCTCTATTCGAGCTGTGAGTATCAGATTCTCCAGGCCCTCCTTTCTCATGACGTGTCCCAGAAATTTCAGCTGCCTCTTCCTGATATTAAGTATTAGACTCCTCCTTGTTTGTATCCTCTCTAAGACCTCATACTTGCTCACATATTCGGTCCATGATATCCTCAGCATCCTTCTGTAGAACCATACCTCAGTTGCCTCGGGTCTCCTCGTCATATTTGAGGAGGCCGTCCAACATAGAGGAGGATAGATATCACGTAGCAGTTCCATCAATCATGTGCCATGCGTGAAACACGCTTGGGCGATCATGTATCTTTCAATACATGACTGACGAGGCAGATTTTTCCTAGAGTTTCTGCTGTAGACCAGTTGCTATCCAAGGCTATAGAACCCTGTCTGTCCTGCTATTTACCCATAGCTGGAGGAAGAAGAAACGTATTCACACCTTTCCCAAGGGTATTAGCACGTAAGTGAATATAATGGAGTCGACTGGAATTCGAACTCCCCCCATGTATGGGTTAAATAGTAAGACTTGTGCCACTTATTGTGGTATTCCCCCAGTATCGATGGAACCGTCTCCGTCAAACAAACCCGCCGGATCTGAACGAAAGCTAACCAAGCATAGCAAAGGTCATATTCATTCTAACGTGTATATCTATAGTAGGAGTTTCAATGGAGTTCCCAATAGGATAGTGCGATTCTGGGCATGAGGAGGCACGGTGGAGTAATGGATAGCGGCTTGTATTGAGGAATCGGAGAGCCGAGTTCGAATTCCATTCGAATTCATTACATTCACTTACGTGCTAATACCCTTAGGAAAAGTATGAATCCTCTTCTTCTCCCCTAGCTATGGATAAATAGCAGGACAGACTGGGTTCTATAGCCTTGGATGGCAACTGGTCTAGGAGAAGGACAACTCTGAATTCAAAACCTGTGGAGAGTCGTTTGGGGACCTTGTGGCACGTAGTGCACCAGGTCACTGTATTCGGCCCTTCAAAAAGTGTGGATGGTCCTGCACGAAACCTTCACCACTATAATCAATTCTTCTCTGCTGTTGTCGGGTTGTCGGTTTCCTAGGAACTGATCTGCTTGACCCTCATACGTTGAATTCGACGGGAGAGCCGAGTATATATATATATATTTACATACGCTCTATCTCTGATACTAAGCGCACTTTATCCCATAAACATAGCACAACTTAAACCTATATTTCTTCATATATATATATATATATATATATATGTTGGGAAAGGTGTGAATCCTCTTCTCCCTCCAGCTATGGGTAAATAGCAGCACAGACTGGGTTCTATAGCCTTGGATGGCAACTTGTCTAGGAGAAGGACAACTCTGATTTCAAAACCTGCGGAGGGTCGTTTGGGGACCTTGTGGTATGTAGTGCACCAGGTCTCTGTATTCGGCCCTTCAAAAAGTGTGGATGGTCCTGCACGAAACCTTCACCACTATAATCAAAATCTCATGTGCTATACATGCGGGTTTGGGGACCGCTTGTGAATTCCAAATTCCCATGAAACTCCAATATTGGAGTCAGCTCAACCCACCCCGGGTGAATGCCTTTACAAGAACAAGAAGAAAGAGAAGATTCTGGGCATTTTATCCTGACGGACCTCAACTATCTCAGGTTAGTTTCCTTCTCCTAGACTCGTTGCCAATTAAGGTTATAGGACAAAGTCCGCCCTGCTATTTTACCATAGCTGGGAGAGAAGAAACGTATTCATACCTTTCCCAAGGTTATTAGCACATAAGTGAATATAATAGATTTGAGTGGAATTCGAACTCGGCTCTCCGATTCCTCAATCCGAGCCGCTATCCGTAACTCCATCATTTTTTTTTTTTTTTTGTTACCGGCAAAATCCTTCCGTCTCGTAATACTCTGCCCAGCATTTGGGATGCGTCTTTGGCCATTCCAATACGTCTTCGGATTTCATCGCCTAACTTAGTGTCCTCTGTCAGAACACTCCCCAGATATTTAAATTTCCGCACCTGCTTGATTTTAGTGTCCCCGAACTTTAAAGCGCATTTCGTGATCATTTTTTGCGCTGTAGAGTAGTTCATTCTAAAATGAGACCCCAGTGAGGCATCTTGCCTATTGCTTAACCACAAAAATATCACGCTGTCTTTATCGTAAAAAAAAAAACACTTTCCGGGCCTAGCAGACGGTCTCAACTCAAGTTCATACCCTTACGATTTCTATGCATTTTTCCAACGCTGTTGAAAGGCCGCGGACGAGATTAAGGAGAATGTGAAAAAGTTTAGTATGGGATTCAAGCCGCCAAATATACGGAAACGAATTTACTGTCAATCTTTGTTCTACGAGAAATTTTGGTAATTCTTTTATTCTTATAGCATTTCCTACAGACACTTAACTCGAAAAAGTAATTATGAACACCTCTCATAGAATTGTAAGAATTACGCGACGCTAAAACAGAAAGAGATTACATGTTTTACGTTATTAATCATTTCACCTCTAGCAAGGCAATAAAGCCACTAAGACGCAAGGCGGTTACGAGTGTGAAAGAATATGAAAAAAAGGAAAGATCAATAAAAGAACATCAATTAAGAAAGCAGAATATAACAATTTGTATTGCATTTAAATTTTAATCGTTTATCTCCAAGCAAGGTAATAAAGCCACTAAGACGCAAGGGGGAGGATGAAAGGATATGAAAAAAAGAAAAACATTATTAAAGAGAGAGAACAATAAAAAGAATGGAATTAATAAAAACAGAATATAACGATTTGTATTGCATTTAAATTTTAATCTCCAAGCAAGGCAATATTATTTTGAATTAAATCTTTTATTGTTTTTTAAGTTGATGTAGCAAATTTTATACTAAGTTGAGATAATTTCTTTTCAAGTGTAATCGTTGTTATTGAGTTGGTAGGTAATGTCTACTTTTATCAAGGATATATCACTTATTTTTTTCTAATTTTCTTTAAAAAGGAACGACAATGTCTGTCAGTTTAATTTTTCATTGTATTTTTCCAATACTTGGTTAAGGTTTGGTATAAGTTTCGTGTTCGAAGTTGTGGATAAACTGTTCGAAATTCATATCTTATTTTCGTTCAAGTACTACGAACGTCATGGGAATCGAGGCCGCACAAAAAAACAATACCATTCATTTGTTTTATTACTTGATTAATTTTATGTTATTTTGTTAATTAATTAATTTATTTGTAAACTCGTTTTGTCCGCCATAATTTAAGGTATTTAAAATGATCTTACTTCTTGTAATCATCCTTGAAGCATTGTGTCACACAGACCAATATTCTTCAAGTGCATGAAGACATTTTTAGAGTTACAACGCGAAAGTTGTTTGTCACAGTTCTTGGAATCGTTCTCTTGTGTATTTTGCGAAATCTTTCTTACGCACACTTTGATACCCCAGTTATCTCCCTTGCATATTATCGCCATTAGTAGCTTCCTTCATTTGATATTTGGTATCCGCATCAACTTTTAATCACGGCCAGCTTCCTGACCATTAATAGTGTTTAGCCAATCGTAATTAGCAGATCCAACTACAAAGAAGGCTGAGATCCAGGCCTTAATTGTAACATTCGCATTTGATTTAAGGGTGATTTTCTTGTTCCGTTTCGATTTTAATGCTGGCTTCTTCAATTCTCTTGGACAGTCGCTATCTATCTATCTATCTATCTATCTATCTATCTATCCATCCATCTATCTATCTATCTATCTATCTATATATCTAAGTCTAGTCTGTTAATATCTATGTATCTATCAATCTGTTCATATCTATATCTATTATCTATCTATCTATCTATCTATCTATCTATCTATCTATCTATCTATCTATCTGTCTCAGTCTAATCTGTTAATATCTATCTATCTATCTCTGTTGATATCTATCTATCTATCTCACTCTATTGATATCTATCTCAGTCTAGTTTCTTAATATCTATCTATCTATCTATCTATCTCAGTTGTTCATATCTATCTATATGAATTTACTCATATCTATCTATCTATCTAAGTCTAGTCTCCTAATATCTATCTATCTACCTCTGTTAATATCTATCTATCTATCTATTTATCTATCTCTTGCATATATCGATTTATTGATCTTATTTTATAATACTAATATTATATCTGCGCGCATTACACACACACACACACACACATATATATATATATATATATATATATTATATGCACTTCTCTTGTAATGAACGGTGTTTTATTTAATGGGAGCAGTTTATTTTGTATAATAATAGCTTTTACAGTCTTTCCTTGCATTAGGTGCTATAAAGTATTTTTGTACATACATATAAGTACTAGTTTAAAAGGAGCCTGTCAGGCGTCATTTAAGCTAGCTCCTGTGGAGGGATCTTGATTGGGCCTTCATCACAATAGGTAAGGAGGAGTAGAGGCGACAATACATTATAGAAAAAGTCAAAATTGATCACTTCATTTATGTATTTTTCTTTCTTTTTATGTGCCATGTCCTTTCAGGACGTAGAAGATCATGGCTCTCCACATCTATCCCTTGAAGCTCTCAACAAATTCCGTGTATCTGCTCCCTCCCCCAGATCCCGTTCTGTCATCCACTTGCTTAAGTCCGCCAGGTATGTCACGCTTTGTTTTCCATTGTCTCTCTTTCCAGCTATTCGACCCGTGCGTATCAGATTCTCCAAACCCTCCTTCCTCATTATGTATCCCAGAAACTTTAGCAACCTCTTCCTGATGTTAAATATAAGCCCCCTTGTTTTCATCTGTAGAGGACCGTGGCGTTGTTAAGTATGTATTGTAGAACACACGCGAGTTAAAATTTCCTGCAGCCGGCCCAACTACATGAGAAAGTTGGACTTTAATTAAGTCCAAAAAACAAACACAAGACAGATAAATATATATAAACAAATATATGTATTAATAACAAGTACAAGTTACAAGCACATGGACAGTTACATGGACAGAGGGCGTGTGGTGAATATTAGGTGTGTGTGTGTGTGTTGTTGTTGTTGTGAGTGTTCGTACGTATGTGTATTGTTCTTAGCGTGTTCCCAGCATTTGGAAAACACTGTATCTGTGAGAGCTCACATCTGCGAGGTGGTATAAGGCTGAAATCCTGAGGGGAAAAAAGAGATCGAGGCGAAGGATCAGCCGGTATCTATAGCCAGGGGAGAGAGACCCCTCGTGAAGGGTTATGGAGCTGAGGAGGAGCTAACTCCGACAGTACCTCTCCTTAGATTAAAAGTTGTATGAAACGAAAACTTTTAATATGTAAGAAAAAGGTTCATGAAAGTTTTGAATATCGTCCTTGTGAGCTGAAAAGAAAATGTGTCAGAAGTGTGGTTGATATGCGTGATTCGACGAAATGTGCTTGTGTTGCCGTCAGGGTGCTCGGTGCTGTGTATTTCTCTAATGAGTCAGAGTTGGGGCACGTCCTGGAAAAAACGCCGGAAGTGGTCTACGTTTGCTATCAAAATTTGTCTTTTTTTTTCCAATGCTCCACGTTGAATTGGCTTTGTCGTCCCGTCAACCTGTTTGCTGGCCTGGTCGTAGTTTTGTTTGAAAAACGAGGTTGTTTGTTTGGTATGCGTGGATAAAATTGGCGCACAAGATTTAATAGAAGCAGCGTTCTGACGAATTTGAGCTGATATAGAATTTCTACCGATTGTCGAATGCATGTTTAAGAAACTTTGCTATTATTGTCGCTAGAATATCGCACTTGCAAATTCTTAGTTGCGTTTTGCAAAGATAAAGGACAGTGAGTCGCCTTTTGTGGTTGAAAACAAAGGACAGTGAGTCGCCTTTAGTTTGAGATGTGGTTCACACTTTATCTATTTCAGTCCAGAAGAAGAGAGTGTTAGTTAGTAGAAAATGGCGTTGCGTTTTCCGTTAGGTAAGCCATAAGCATGTCTGCCGGGTGAAATTAGGTCAAACATCGCCGAGAGAAAGAAAGCGTCAAGCAAATATAGAGCAGTGGGGAAAGAGTTCTAAGGCTCGTCTCATAGTAGTAATTGTGTTCCTTCTAGTGGCGATTAAGGCTTCCGTGATTTCAACGTGTTGGAAATTCTTTTTGCTGCGCAGGAGAAAATTGTTTTGTAGACCTGTTGTAGTGAAATAAAATTGTGATTTTGTACTTTCATCAGTTTAATCAAATTTTTGTTGCTGTATAAAAGTTCTTTCGTTAATAGTGTACGGCGTGCGTATTAAGAAACGAAAAGAAGTTTTTTCAATGTTTTTACTATCTGGCTCTCTTTTGGAAAAGTGTGTGTAAATGTGAGTTTGTACATATATATCGTCCTGTGTGTTTTAGCAGGAGTTGAAAGATGAATCGCGTCGGGAAGTCACCATTATGTAAAGGACCGTGCCTGTGTAGATGTAAAGAATACACGTGAGTTAAAATTTCCTGCTAGCCAGTCCAACTACATGAGAAAGTTGAACTTTAATTAAGCCCAAAGAAAACAAACAAGACCGATAAATATATGTGAACAAATATATGTATTAACAACAAATACAAGTTACAAGCACATGGACAGTTACATTGAGTGTGTGTGGTGAATATTATGTGTGTGTGTTGCGGTGAGTGTTCGTACGTAGGTGTATTGTTCCAGCATTTGGGAAACGCTATATCTGTGAGAGCTCACATCTGCGAGGGGGTATGGCCGAACGACTGATGAAAAAGAGGTCGAGGATAAGAATCAGCCAGTATTGACTAATAACCCTTCACCAGGGGAGAGAGACCCCTGGTGAAGTGTTAAGGATCTAAGGAGGAGCTAACTCCGACACATCCTCTCTAAGACCTCGTCGTTGCTCACACGCTCAGTCCATGATATCCTTAGCATCCTTCTGTAGAACAACATCACCGTCGCCTCGCGTCTCTTGTTCATCTTTGAGGAAATCGTCCAACATTCGCGTATATCACGTATCATTTCAGTATTCTTTTCTTAAGCTTACCTTTTAAAAGTTCAACGATAATTCTTCTGTTGCCATTTAATTCAAAGATATTTTGATGTACGTAGGTCCTTACTTTCCGTACACACAATTATTTTTATTTCGTGGGTGACTTTCGCAATTAATTTCGATTATTCTCATATTTATTTCCAAGTTATAAAAATTACGTACAAAAATCGCCGAAAACAATCTTAGTAATTAAAAAATTGTAAGTCCAAAATTTCAGGATTGCGGGTCTGGATCCGAACCGGAATGATTTTAATTTTCTCACGAAGTCGGCCTGATTCCAAAATGGTATGATATGCTGTGCTATAGCCTCTTGGAGCTAAGTTTTAAAAAATGGCCAAAACTATAGCCGAAAGCGCTCAGAATTATAGAACATTTCAACAGTTTCTACACAATCTGTATCCAGAAAAGAAAGCTCTTGTTTGAACACAAGAAAAAGAAAAGAAAAAGTTTAATCGCAGTACCTTGTCTGCTGTCTTGCGTGTGTGTGTGTGTGTGTGTGTAGAGAGAGAGAGAGACAGACAGACAGACAGAGACAGAGATGAATACAAGAAAGATAATTTTAAAAAATGAAAAAATAAAGAACATATCCTATATGTACACTATTTACATTATTCGGACTATTGTCCTCATCTTTTTCGCCATATCTATCACAACGTTTCGGCCGTTGTACGCACCGGCCTTCTTCAGGTGGTTGGAATGTCGAATCGAACCCTTTATTTCGCTCACTAGTGTAGACCGAAACGTTGTGATAGATATGGCGAAAAAGGTGAGGACAATAGTCCGAATAATGTAAATAGTGTACATAATACCTCATCTCAGAAATATAGACAGATACTGAAGGGTGATAAATATGGCGACAAAGATGAGGACAATAGTCTGAATAATGTAAATAATGTACATAATACCTCATCTCAGAAATATAGACAGATACTGAAGGGTGATGAATATGGCAACAAAGATGAGGACAATAGTCCGAATAATGTAAATAGTGTACATAATACCTCATCTCAGAAATATAGACAGATACTGAAGGGTGATAAATATGGCAACAAAGATGAGGTCAATAGTCCGAATAATGTAAATAGTGTACATAATACCTCATCTGGGAAATATAGACAGATACTGAAGGGTGATAAATATGGCAACAAAGATGAGGTCAATAGTCCGAATAATGTAAATAGTGTACATAATACCTCATCTGGGAAATATAGACAGATACTGAAGGGTGATAAATATGGCAACAAAGACGAGGTCAATAGTCCGAATAATGTAAATAGTGTACATAATACCTCATCTCAGAAATATAGACAGATACTGAAGGGTGATAAATATGGCAACAAAGATGAAGACAATAGTCCGAATAATGTAAATTGTGTACATAATACCTCATCTCAGAAATATAGACAGATACTGAAGGGTGATAAATATGGCGACAAAGATGAGGACAATAGTCCGAATAATGTAAATAGTGTACATAATACCTCATCTCAGAAATAAAGACAGATACTGAAGGGTGATAAATATAGCAACAAAGACAAGGACAATAGTCCGAATAATGTAAATAGTGTACATAATACCTTATCTCAGAAATATAGACAGAATATTCTATATCTATATAGTAAAATTCAGTCAGACAGTTATGTGCCATGCGTGAAACACGCTTAACCGATCATGTATCTTTCGATACATGACTGAAGAGGCATATTTTTCCCGCAGTAGGTTGCCATTTCTTTCTGTGCTAGACCAGTTGCCATCCAAGGCTATAGTACCCGGTCTGTCCTGCTATTTACCCATGGCAGGGGAAAGAAGATGAGAATTCATACTTTTCCCAAAGGTATTATCACTCAATCCGAACCGCTATCCATTACTCCAAAGTGACTCATAGTAAAATTACGAATACAAAAGCAAACAAAACTGACTGAAAAATATATTACCCTATCTCTCACTGTTTCTCACTGAAATCTTAGCCTACTCTTCATTTCCTCTCTTAAGAATTGAATTGCATGAGCCAGAAACAAAGATGCATCACCGGCGTGATATATGTGTCTTTCATGGACCTAGGAAAAATGATGACAGATTTTATATTCTTCATAATAATTTCACTTTTTTATCTTTCTTATTCCATTTTTTAAAAAAGAAGCCATTCGACCTTGTCGTTCTCCTGGTTCGCCCTCAAATCTACCCTGTTTTATTTACTGCAACTTGGTAAATGGATGAATTTCAATTAGTTGAGGGTATTCAGTGGACCCGGGGTAGACGGCTGGCTGATGGGGGAAGTGATGGTTGGAGTGTCAAAATAAGTTTGGAAGAAAAGAGGAATCCAATGTCAAACAATCGTGTCTCGTGTCAAGGCGTAATGGGATGGGCTGCCGGGAGGCACATCTTGGCTCGATACGTACACCCAGGCCGGAGATAATGAAAAGAAAGAAAGAAAGAAAGAAAGAAAGAAAGAAATGAAAGAAAGACTGGAATGGAAAAAAGAAAGAAAAGAAAGAAAGAAAGAAAGAAAGAAAGAAAGAAAAAAGAAAGAATGGAAAGAAAGAAAAAAGAAAGAAAGAAAGAAAGAAAGAAAGAAAGAAAGAAAAGAAAGAACTGGAAAGAAAGAAAGAAAGAAAGAAAGAAAGAAAGAAAGAAAGACTGAACTGGAAAGAAAGAAAGAAAGAAAGAAAGAAAGAAAGAAAGAAAGAAAGACTGAACTGGAAAGAAAGAAAGACTGGAATAGAAAGAAAGAAAGAAAGAAAGAAAGAAAGAAAGAAAGAAAGAAAGAAAGACTGAACTGGAAAGAAAGAAAGAAAGAAAGAAAGAAAGAAAGAAAGAAAGAAAGAAAGACTAGAATGAAAAGGAAGAAAGAAACAAACAAACACTAGAATTGAAAGAAAGAAAGAAAGAAAGAAAAAAAGAAAGAAAGAAAGAAAGAAAGACTAGAATGAAAAGGAAGAAATAAACAAACAAACACTAGAATGGAAAGAAAGAAAGAAAGAAGAAAAGAAATTATGAAAAACTGAGAAAACTGCTCCCATGCACATAAAGTGGACGATTTAAATGACCAAACGATTATATACCATTTTATACATGTAATGAAAGTGTGACATTGAAAATAAATAGTGAGATGGGAAAATTATTGCCATTTTATATTTTTCATTTCGCGCATGCGCGTTGTTCTTTTTGTTTTACTTTGTCAACTGCAGAATATCGTAGGTTCAGTTGGGCGCCATCTGTGAGAAACGATCGCTATAATGCAATTCGCTCAGCAAGAAATTTAGAAATGGCATCTTGTACTGCTTGGTAATTCGTGCCGGAAGCTTCAATACAAACATTTCAGACTGTTTGGGAGTCAATCTGAACACAGTGTTAAGGATTCGGAAAGCGTTGGATGAGTCTAATGGTGATTAAGAAGGTTTTTTGAGTGATCACTCCTATATTCATCTTCCCACAGGACCTCAGAATCAACACGGAGGCCTACATCAAATGCCTTGAGGAGGTAGTGCTTTACTTGGTCAAGAGGCTAGCTGCTGGAAAACCATATATCTAGCGACAGAACACTGCACCATGCCTCACAAGCATTGTTGTTTGTTATTATTTACGTTTACTAATAAATTTACAAACGAACTAATACATAAACAGAAGAAAATTTAATGATAATAATCAACAATAAAATAATTAATAATAAATAAACAAATTAACAAAAAAGAATATAAATATCCCCAAATCTGCATAAGGATCCAAAATTATTCCCACTCAGTAGCCCGTAGAATACTTCGAAAGAAATGTTATCCCCACTACAATGACCGTTAGAATAATAGAATAGGCTACTCCCAATAGATCACTGGCTTGTCTATATATAAAAAGTCAAGCAAAAAACACAACGCATATGTCCTGTTAATTGCGTCTAGCATGAAACAGACTCTCGCCTCTGGGCTTCGATTTTAATGTCCACTTTTATATTTATATACGCATTCTCCCTGACATTGAGCAGTTTAACCGATAAACATCGCACACTTTAAAATTATATTTTGTCATTATATATATATATATATAAAAATATATATAATCTTCCTTTTCTCTGCTGTGCGCTAATAGCTTATGGGTAGAGTCTGTGATTTGCGCCATATCGGTCGAGTTTCGATCCCGGCTTCAAGCGATCTGATGTATAACCACATTGATGATGAGATACATCAGAAACAGCCTTTATATATATATATATATATATATATATATATATATATATATATATATATATATATATACAAGGATGTTTCTGTATCACAGTATATATATCACATATATATATTTGTGTGTGTAAAATTATATAGGAAAGAACTCGTTAGGTAAATAATCCAAAGTTTTGTTATTATTTTAAAAAATAGTGCTCGATACAAAAGTAAAGCATAAATATAATTATTTATTTAAAAATATAGCGATGGAATCATATTTTTAAATAAATATTATATATATATATATATATATATATATATATATATATATATATATATATTATGAAATCCGACAATTATATTAAGACATTTTTATGTTTATACATTCTTTTTATAGATACAAATATTTAAGTAAATGCTCTGTTTATAATAAACAGTATTAAACAACATTTACCGGCCTGAATGTTCGAGAAATTTTCATAGAAAATATTCGTCCTCCAACAGGAATCGAACGTGTATCCTATACGGAACCGTCATAATGTGTGACGTCATTTGTTTACCTTTGGATACGCTTTGAGCAGATATGAATGTACGTGAGAGATTCATTGAAGATTGAATTTTAAAGGCAGTAAATTCGACCTCTGTGGCCATATCGGTTTAAGGTGCGTTAAGCTATACGACGCTTCTGTATAGGATGCAAGTTCGATTCCTGTCGGATGACAAATATTTTCTATGAAAATTATTTATTTATATATATGGATTTTGTGGTTGGAGTCTTTTCTTTTTTTATTGAATGGCTGTTTCATCTAACGACTTAAGACTCATACGTCTGCTCGTATAAATAAAGAATTCGATCTTTGAAAACGAAAGTATGAACATTCGAAACTACCCGCGAAGAAAATAGTTAAAATAAAACTTTGGAAAATGTATACATATACATATGTATAAAAATTCTTTATTTAGCATTAACTATGGAGTATGATATTTCTTTTATTATATTATTTTCTACACCCCGTCCTCATTCGCACCCCTAAAAATGAACCATTTTCTAAAAACCCAATGGGAATAGTAGTACTGATGTACGAGGCCGCGACTCGAATCGCTACTCCATTCTTTGTTTCCGTGTGTCTAAAGAATTAATCCCTTGAAATCCACTTAATTGTTCTGGGGCTTGTTTTCAGTTCAAGAAAACCAACTAACGATGGTCGTGTTGCCCTATCGTCTTCCGCGTCGTAGGGACTATGCCGTTATGTGTCGGGGTCGTTCAAGGAGAGAGAGGGCGTCCATAGAGGAGACCCGGGCTGTTCCATTCATGAAGAATTTATAGGTCCGGCCCAGATGAAGCTGAAGTGGCGACCAACACAAATGAATAACATAACGGTCAAATCGCGAAAATGCCCTCTTAGCGTAATTCTTACGCTGTCATTCCTCGAACAAGCGTCTCAAGAATACTGACGTAAATAATAAATTTTCAACCGACCAGATCACCAGCCATTATCAACCGTCAGTATCCTATAATTATTGACAATTCCAAAACGAGTATTTATTTCGGAACAAAACTGAGCAGGCCAGGGTTTTTTTGTTTTTTTCTACATTGTCAATTTGAAAACAATTAAGACCATCTCCACTCAGTCAGTCTTCAACTTTTCAGTCCAATATATGCGATTCACGCCAGGAAATACCAGATGACCAGGATTAAGTTTAAAGTCAATAAAAAACGCTTGTTCTTTGTGAAGTTGATCTGTGATAATCTTAATATATCCTGGGTTAACACCAGATGAAACCAAAAAATAGATTTGCCACCCAGTATATATATATATACATATAAAAACAAACAGGCGCAAGTTGACGTAGAAGGTGCCCTCATAGCCACCAGGTGTAGATTCGAGACTCAAAAAAGAAGTGGTCGACCAAACTCGGTAGATTTGGGACAGACGAATTTCAGGAAGATATAAAAGCACCCCACTCAAGGAAAAATCAAGAAGAGGGTTTATATACGGAGTGCAATGGTTAAATTGTCGACATATTATATTTTTAATTTCGTGCATGCGCGTTGTCATTTTTGATGTTGTCGACAGCACCGTAATGTAGGGTCAGTTGGGCACCCTCTGTGAGAAAACAAGCACCATGACGCAATTCACATCACCAGAATGTTAGAAACGGCATGCTGTACTGCTTGGCATTCGCACCGGAAGCTCCAATACGAACATTTCGGAGTGTTTGGATGTCAAACTGAGGACAGTGCAAAGGATTTGGAAAGAGTTCTATGAGTCTAATGGTGATTACGAAGGTATGTGTTTGGAGTGATCACTAGTGGTGGCAACGTCATGACTCTATTCATCTTCCCAGAGGTCCTCAGACTCATCCAGTGTCTTGAAGAACCAGTACTGCCCTGGGTCATCTTTGTAGATGCTGGAAGATCCTAAATTTGGCAACAAGACTCTGCACTATGCTACACAAGCAGGGGAACCCAGTCATTGCTGTCCTGTCAGACAATTTGTCCACCACATCAACATTTACATCTGGACATCTAACTCCCCAGACTGCAACTCCCTTGATTATTATATGTGGAGCGCAGTTGAGACAGAGACCAACAAAAATCCTTCTAACACCAAAGATGAACTGAAGGCAAGGATTATGGCAGCATTCCCCAACTTAATCAAGGAGACCGTCCAGAAGAGATGCAGGAGATTCCGTTGAAGGCAATGACGATTTTATTGAATATATATTTCTCTTTAGTATTTCAAGATATTTTTGAGTAAATTTGGTAAATATATTTGTTTAAATGAGATATCAGTGTTATTTTCATTTGTGCGTAATTTAGACGACAATTTATCCATCACACCATATATATGCAGGTTTGTCTCGCTGTATCACAGCTCATTAGTGCGTTAGACAACCAAATGCTTCAAGGCAGGATCGAAACACGACTGATTTGGTATCAGTCGGAGTTTCTACCCCCCCCCCATCCCAAGCCATCGAGGCTTCGGCAGAGAGAAAGAGGAATTCTAGCGTATTGTTTTTAGTAATGCAAACAAGCACCCAACAGCCAGAGTGCTCTATTCATTAATGAAGAGAGATGCGTTAAAGTTGACAGCTGCTGTTTATAGAATTTCTCCATTTCTCAACAGTGCTCAACCGAAAGATTTTCGAGACCATTATATATATATACGTCACATAATTTTATGGCCGTATGTTGATATAATGGTTCTATTTTATTATTAGTTATTTTTTATTATTATTATTATTATTAGTTATTATTGTTGGGCCTAATAATCTTATATGGCCCACAAAACTTTTATTATTGTCTATTGTTGTATTGTACTATTTTTTATTGTTGTTAATCTCTTATTGTGCCTCATATGATCTACGGTAGGAACGAATCACATAACTTTTGTTATTATCTATTGATATAATTATTCTATTTTATTATTAGTTATTGTTGTTAATCACTTATTGTGTCTAATAAGATCTACGGTAGGAATGAATCTTCTATCCGTCACCTAACTTTTATTACAGCCTATTGTTAGAATTGTGCTATTTTATTATTACAACTGTTGTTAATTTCTTCACAGGCCTAATTGCAAAATTAATGTTATCATAGCTGGGTTTTTTTTCTCTGGAAAATAAATAATATATATTGTTTGTCCTATTCTTGATTCAGATTATCGGTAGAGTGTCTTCTGACATATCTTTCACAGACGTGCCGTCGCCTCCCTCTGTCTTTTTTACAAATACTTTCACGGTAACTGCTTGGAGGAGCTGCTTTCGCTGGTTCCGAAACTTCATGAATTTAAGCGTTCTACTAGGATGGCATCTCGCTCTCACCCTTTCACTGTCGAAACTGTTAAATGTAGCCGTCTCTTCTACTTCAACAGCTTCATGTCTCGCACCTCTCGCCTGTGGAACTCCCACCCCTCTTCCTGTTTCCCTGATAGGTATAATTTCTAACTATTCAAATGTAATGTCAATCGACGTCTCCAGATGGCTTGATCTATCCCCTATCCTTCTCTTCATCCTTTCCTCTATCACTCCTCTTTTCTCTCGCTCCAACTCTCTGTAAACCCTTGCGTACAAGTGGCTTCCGGCCTTGCTTGGGGTGAAACGCTTAAAAGAAAAAAGATAAGAGTGTATCATCTGTGTTTTTTCACTAGCTTTATCTTCATCTAATTTCATTTTCCTTTCATCTGTACGCTCTTTTCTCTCTCTCTCTCTCTCTCTCTCTCTCTCTCTCTCTCTCTTCTTCTCTCTTTCTCATCTTAATTTTTTTCTTATTCCTTCTTCGTCTGTCTTTTTTTAAGCAGGGAATGTTCTTCTTGTCTCACAATTTTTTTTTTTTTTGCTATGAAATTCGCTCTTGCCTCAATTCCGGGATCAGCAAGCAAGCCCCGCGTATCCATCATCGAACCGTTCTCGTAACCCTCGCCACCCCCCTGCTACTGCCCATTGTCGTGATTGATCCGGCAAACATGATACTTATTTCCTAATGACTTAATTTTCCATTGAAGCTCTAATCTCGACGTCTTTGGATTAAGCGGCCAAACCGAATGATAGAGTTGAAACGTCAAATACTAGATCTCAACTGGCGCCCGGCAGCGAACGACATTATATAATATATTCTTTATCCTTTCACTTACGACCCCTCAGTTGAATAACCACTACGCCTTTCTTTCTCTTTTTTACTCTCTCTCTCTCTCTCTCTCTCTCACTCTTTCTCTCCGTATTTCTATCTTTTCTCTTCGTCTCAGTCTCTCCGTGTCTCGCCATTTTTACTGTCCATCGTCCTATCTTTAAAGGTACGTTAAAAGATCCCTTGCTCTGCCGGCGCCAATAGCTTATGGGTAGATTGTGCTGACTGATGCCAAATCGGTCGAGTTCGATCCCGGCTTCAAACAATCGGAAGCCTAGTCACACTGATAATCTGTGATAAAGCGAAATAGGCTTATATATATATATATATATATATATATATATATATATATATATTTTTATTTAAAAATATGATTCCAACACGCGACATAAGAGGTCTCATGTTTCAAAACAAGAGCCGAAAACTTAAATATAATTATTTGAATTAAATTGAGTTAAGGTAAGCTCTGTTCCATCTTCAAGCGAAATTCTTTTTTGGAATAACGTATTTCTGAAATGTACGTGTTTTAATAATTGAAATCAAAATTTCCATGGTAACAGCTAGGGCGAATTGTTTAAATTGGGTAGGCGCGTGTTGGGTGTTAATAATAAGTATCAGTATAGAGTTACTTTCATAGATGTCAAGTCAGGGTAAGGTGGGGGTGTCTAAATTTGAAACGGATGATGTTTTAGCCTAGTCTGGTTTACGTGTCTATGGAGATTTATTTATTTTTTATTTTATTTCTTTATGAAAGGGATTTGTGCATATAAAAAAAAACCCCAAAAAACTGCCATAACATTTGTTTTTTGACGACTTCATAAAGGGTTATCTTTTTTGTAGGGTATTTAAACTATTTATTTGTGCTATGGATTATAAAAGTTATTATATTGTATGCTTATTTTTAGCTAATTATTCAAACCATGAATTTGATGATGCCGACAAAAAACCGTTAACTCATGTCTATTGTTTAATAGATTATTATTATTTAGAAATTTAATAATAATCTATTAAATAATTTTGAATAATTAATTATATATATATATATATATATATATATATATATATATATATATATAAGACATTTTTATGTTTGTACGTTCTTTTTATATAAATAAAAATAAAAAATATTTATAAAATAAATATAAAAATATCTTAAAATAATTGTCGGACTTCGTTCATGTCATAATATATATATATATATATATATATATATATATATATATATATATATATATATCAGAATAAAAATACCCCATGCCGACAGTACAACACGGATTTTCATGCCTGGTGCAATCATCGGGTGCTAAACATTGTTTAGATTTTTCGTTAATATTCCTTGGTCTAGCGAGAATCGTGATGTTATTTGTATGAGTTATTACTGTTGTTAAATATTTAATATTTACTATTATCTAATTTTGAATTTAAATTTAGGCTCAACGTTACACTTCATGTTGAACATAAAAATAAAAGACAACAATGCGAGAAAAGAAATTATTAGCATAGAACTTACGGTTCTATCTAGCTATTTCTTGTAAAATGATGAGACCTAACTATCTAGTACTGTTTTCATAAATCTAGAAACCATATCGAAGAGTTCATCGGAACAATTATCATGAAAGTATTTATAGAAAAAGCACAGGGAGGCATCCTTACGTTGGGGGAAAAGTGACTGAAGCCGAAATGCCTGGTCAGGACCAATAATGTTGCTGATTTTTCTTTGTTTTTTATCAAGGATACATAGCAAGACCACCGGACCATATGTGACAGCAATATTCAAAGGATGGATGAATGGTAGACTTATAAATATGTAAGATAGATTCTGGAGAGAAAAAAACGTCTAAAGTTACATTCTTACATATGTGTAATCATTTTAAAATTTTAGATGAAATTATTCTGTGTCTTAATACTTTGCTTAGCTTTGGAAAGACATCTTTCGCTATCCCAATGCACCTTTGGATTGTGGTGTCGCATTTTCCATCTTCTGTTAAGACCATATTGAGAAAATTTTTGGAAAATAATTGTCCGTAAAAAATTATTCGAAAAACATTTAGTGAAATAGTAAATTGTTTGAATGAAAATTTACTGAGAGGAAAATTAATTATATTAAATGATAATTATTCGAAATGCCTATGTTTGAAATACATAAGTGGTCTTGCTTTGAGAGAGCCAATGCTGTTTTACCTAGAATTAATAACGCCATCGAAGGATGGCATAGGGATTTCTTGCAGCAAATGTCATCCCATCATACCACAATATGGAAATTCTGAGACGCTATTAAAAGAGAACAGGACTTACAAGAAGATCATATTGCCAAAATCTCAAGAAGGCCAAGAGATACTCTGACGTAAATGGAAAACTTAAAAAATATTAGGGATATCCTTCAACGAGTAGTCTTCAGGTGTCGACTATTTGCATGCAGTATCACATAACTTAAAGTTATAAAGATTTCTTTCTTACTAAATTGTTTTATTAACGATATTTATATTACGAATAATTACCATTTGTGTGTTTTTACATTTTTATTGCAATAAAGAATTTTACATTGCGAATAATTATCGTTTTGTATAATTGTCCTTTCGATTAATTTTCATTCAAACAATTTACAAATCGAATAAATGTTTTTCAAATAATTGTTTTCGAACAATGTTCACATAATCAAATCAATCAGTCAAGCAATTTACTTAGAATCCCGTCTATCATGTTACAAATTGAGCTTTGAATACCTAAATTTTTAGTGCAACCCACTTGACGCTTTTGTATTCAATTCTATTCACGTGCAAATGTATCAAGCTACAAGATGGGTCGCTCATTGTTAAGTTCATGCAAGTGTCAGCACTAGAATAAAAAAAAACATTAAAATAAAGCTAATAAAAAGATCGTTTTGAGTCAATATCCTCCCGTTACAATTACACATACATGACAGCAACAAGGTAGAGGCTTTCCTTTTTTCTGTTTGAATTTCTGATGATGAAGGGTTAATATTAATTACTGCTGAATTATTATATCCGACTGTAAATAATTATTTGGTATTATCATACGTTATGCTATGAGAATCTTAGAAGGACTAGCCAATGAATTATACGAGATTCCTTAATGAAAAGAGAGAACTGACAGCAAAGCTCCAACAATATCAAAAGTAAAGTCAAATCCTTGTGGAATTCAATCAAGCGCGACAAGCAGTTTTAGCTTGGTAAACAATTTCAGTTATGGCCGTAAGCACATCAGTTGTAATACTGCGACGTAATTGGAAAAATTAAAAAATTAGTGGCGACCTTTAACGAGTTCTCTTCAGGAGTTGATTATTTGCATGCAGAATCATATAACTTATAAGGATTTTCTTCTTACTAAAATTGTTTTATTAACGATATTTATATTACGAATAATTACCATTTGTGTGTTTCGTCTTTTAATTTTTTACACTTTTATTGCAATAAAAATTTTGCACATTCATTCATTTCCCTATTACTACGTCTATATTGACAGGAATTATATTTGTAGTAGCAAAAAACACAAGATCAAGCTGAAAGAAAACCCATCTTGACCTCTCAGTTGCACGGACCGATACAGATTCAGTGTTGTGTCGCATTGGGGAGTCTACCAATCTGTGGCCCCTATCGCCACCCTCCACCGCTGAAACCCTGAAATATCCTCCTAATTCTAATGAGGGGCAGAGATGGTTCTCTGTGGGGAGTAATTGAGAGCAGTTTTGTTTTTGAGGTATTAAAGTTAACCAGCCAATTCTTGCCCCAGTTAACAACCGATTGGAGGTCTATTTCAAGACGAGCGGCCAGGTTAGTTTTGTCAGCGACACTAGATTTGTTTTTGAGGCAGGAGTAAATTGTAGTGTCATCTGCATAGATGACTACTTGGGAACCTATGACGTCAGGAAGATCGTTAATGAAGATAAGGAACAGAGTAGGGTCTAGGGGGACAACCTGCGTTCGTGGGATAGGAGCTGAAATTACATCCTAAAAGGAATTCCCCACTGGTTGAGAACCCCTGATCTAGGGGTCCCTGAAGTTCCCTTCCTATGTCTACCATACATGCAGTGTCACCTGCATATTTTATATTGTTAAGATTGTGCCCACCAATAATAAATCCTTGTAGGACTTCTAGTTGTCATATGATCACTGTAAAGATTAAATGAATCTGGTGAGAAGATGCATCCTTGTCTTACACCTCATTCATTTTTAGTGTACTTACTCGTTTTCTATCCATATGCAGACAGTTTGCTCCCTGTATATATTCTGGATTATTCTTTCTTTCCAAAATAAATCAAGTTTCCCTACTAGTTGAAATAGGTCTTTCTGTTGTACCTCATCAAATCCATCTATAGGTAAACATCCAGCTCTGTTTGTACTGCTCTGATACCATTCCGATCAAAATGATTACATTTCTTGTTCCAGTATCTTTAATGAGACTGCACTGTTCTCATCCTATTTCCTAGTCTCAGGAAATGTTGCGGATTATTCTATTATGTTTAAGTTTTCCTAGCAGTTCAAATAGATCTTTGTGTCGTACGCTTTAATTTATTTTATGGCATATCAACCTCAGTGGTTTATTTAATGTCGAAAAATATTTAGAATAGGTTCGTATGAATAGAATATGTATCATATTTTTCTGAAAAATGTATTGCTAGTAATTTTTTTTTCCAGAAATGTATTGCTGGTAATATTTCTTTTCCAGAAATGTATTGCTGGTAATTTTTTTTTTTCCAGAAATGTATTGCTAGCAGTATTTTTTTCCAAAAATGTATTGCTGGCATTTTCACTATAAAAAATCTATTTATATACTTTCATATTGTTTTGACCCCAGTTTACGGTTAACTATTAACTTGGACCCTAACAGGTGCTATCGCCCAAAGTCAGAGTGGACCCAGGAACAACAGCAATTAAGAGGTAGTTCCACGCTCATCAAAATTTGCTGCCGGATGTAATTTATCGTCATACCCAGGACGAAAATGCTTTTGACACCACACGCCTTAAATATACTGGGTTTTCTTAAGAAGCAAAAAACAGATGGATGAATTACAAATGTTCCTTACGCGGAATTTTTCTTCAACAAATGTGTCATGCTGATTGCTTTTCATGATCAAAGCAAGGGAACGATAACGTGTACGTTAGTCACGTGATTAGTTGACCTTTATTTTATCGCGCGTCACTGAAGTGTCCTCTGAATACGTCATCAACGGCTGTTATCTTTTCTAAGACATGCTGATAAATATATTAGACGTTGATCTCTTTATTCTGCTACGTGTAGCTAGAAAAGTAGATGGCAAGACGATTGTTATATTGGAATAAAATGTCGCTGCCGACACTTGGGTTTGAACATAGATCGCCAGTGAGCAAACACAGGCGATCCCATTAGTAAATTAAGTAGACCACGTGACCATAGAAGCAACGCATATATGGAAGGTAGCGTGTATCTAATTGATCGCCATTTCTATTCTATCCTATATATTATTCGGATCGCTATTTCTATTCTATCCTCTATATTATTCGGATCGCTATTTCTATTCTATCCTCTACATTATTCGGATAGCTATTTCTATTCTATCCTCTATTACTAGACGGATCGCTATTCTCTACTATATTCACTATAATATTTCTCTATTCTGATCACTATTCAGTGGTTACTTTTTGAGCTAGTATTATCGAGCAAGTACTATTAGTGCGAGTGTTATTCGAAGGCGTCTGACACCAGCATTGTTCAACGGCGTTACTATAGTTGTATCTGCGATTACAAAGTCTCTACTACAACCAGCATTACGAAAGTGACAACGAGTATTCCTTGGCATTACAAAAGGGGCAACGAGTGTTCGTTGACATTAAAAAATCGATTTAACACAGTTGTTGAGATTGATGAGTTTTTCCAACAAGATATTCTATTCGTAAAAGCATCTAAGAATATAATCTCTAGTGTGCTAGACAATTACTGATGGTCATTCATTTGGTAAATTTTCATTTTAACACCCGGGAGCTAATACCCCTTCAATTTTTTCCAAAATAGTCTTATTTCCGTGCAAATGTATATGCTGAACTCAAATCAACAATTAGATATTAAAGAAACCTACCTTTTTGGATGTTAACGACCCGAAAAAAATCGGACTTTATCCTGGTCTTTCGTCAACCATTACCGGCTTATTGATAAGGAATTCACTGCTGAATTCTGTCGGTGGACGTATACAATTTGGGCCTATTTACTTCTTTCACAATAATTCCTTGTAGTTAACTTTCAAATTAGGGTTAGGTGTTTTTTTTTCTTTTGTTATTCTTTTATTTGTCGATGCTTACATATATTTGAAAGTTAACTTTCTTCTTAAATTAAGTACAAAAAAAATCGTTTTACGGAAGCGCGTACTAATTTCTGAAAGAAAATAGTTCAGCAGTGAATGACGCTCGGGTGTTAAAATGAAAATTTATCATTCATTTTATATAGAATATTTGTTTTTATTTCTATAGATTTCGAATTGTTTAGCTCATTTAAAGGGTATTACGAGCTTTTTTTCCCTGGTGCCCTGACTAGATGAATTTAAGCGTACTACTAGATTGGCATTTAGGTCCCACCTTTCTGCTGTAGAAATAGTTAAATCAAACCGCCTTTTCTACTCCAACAGTTTCTTTTCTCGCACTTCCCGCCCATGGAAGTCCCTTTCCGTTCATTTGCTTCCCTGATAATTACAATCATTAAAAATTTTAATGAAATGTCAATCGCCATCTTCTGTCTTCTTGAATCACGTTCAACTTTTATCCTTTCATCAATACTCTCTATACTCGATCTTTTCTCTCATTTCCAATCGCAGTAATCCCTATTGTATATTGCTGCTGGAATAAAATCAGGCGACGAACACTTATATATAAAAATATAAAAATAGCTTTATTGTTTGAGTTGCGGCAATTAGGTAGAGTGAAGGAGAATCACATTGTTTGGGATTGTGCACATATGAATTGACGGAGACAAAAATGTCGGTGAAAAACTAGCCAGCCTCTCTCTCAGGCCAAGAGTTGGGCCGTTTTTATAACACTTGGACACTCACGCAACTTTACGTGGCTACGCCTTCTTCCGGTATGTCGCCTGTGCAACTTGTAGCCATGCCTCTTCCGGCATTGTGCCCACGCAACTTCGTGTGGCCACGCCTCTTCCAGCATGCTCCCACGCAAACACGCATTTCCTTCCGCTCAGGACATCTTTGCGTCCTGTTTATTCAAGGCTTCGGTGTCAAATATCTTACAAATGGGTTGATAAACCGTTAAATACAAATCAATCAATTTGTCAGTCACTTGTGAAAAGAAATCACGTGTTACAGCGCCGACTATTTTTTTTTGTAAGGCGGGAGAGCCACTAGTAGAGAAGAAGTTACAGAGAATGAAAGTTAGAGAAAAGATTGTGTATAGGGGGAGTATTGAAGAAAGAATAAAAAGGAGATATAGAGAATGACGGGGATCAGGAGCAAGGCAACGGAAGATGTCGATTGACATTACATTTAAATTTTTGAAGATTATAGTTATCAGTGAAGCAAGTAATAGGAAGGGAGTTCCACTGCCGGGACGTGCGAGAGAAGTTGTTTTTTATTTTTAGACTAGAAGAGGTGGTTAAATTTAACTGTTTCGACAGAGAAAGGGTGGGACCGAGATGCCAACCTAGTAGCACGCTTAAACTCATGCAATCAGAGCACCAGTGAAAATAGCTCGTCAGAGCAGTTGCCATGAAAATATTTATAGAAAAGACAGAGGGAAGCCATAATACATCGGTGGGAAAGTGACTGCATTCGAGATGCAGGACCGATCATATTGCATATGCGTATTTGGATTTTGTTGAGAACTGCGATTTTTTGCTCCAGGCCAGTAATTTTTTTCTTTCTTTCTGCCAGATAGCCTCTGGGTTATATATCAAAACTCAATGCGATTTAAATGTTAAACAAAGTATATCAACTCAAAGATCTTTATTAACAATAACAATTTTTTTTATTCTTTTTTTATAATTTCGATATTGTCGTCTAAAACCACAGAAAACAACTCTCTTTTGCTCGTATAAAATACGGATGTCTGGAATAAGTTAATCAGCTGATGCCAGACAATTCCGAAGATTCTATCGCTTCCGTTTTCATCCAATAACAAAAGATCCGGCTAGTAATTATATTTTTTACAATAAAATTACCTTTTATAAGGCCTGGGAGACACTCGAGGTAGAGGTTTACAGAGTAAGAAGTACAGTATATGCTTATAGGTAGGGAAAATAACAGTTAACCCTATGCTTAAACAGGTTAAGATTGAGCAAGCAGCGAACCAGGTAGGTCTCTAATGCAACGTAAGACAGAATATATCACAACCTCCCATGAACCATCAGTGTTGAATTCACTGAATAATATATCCATTAAAATAATTGAGGAGTTCAAATATCTTGGATTTCACATAACAGATCTCAACATGCGCAAAGCTCTTGCATGGAAGGCGGGTTACTCGAAGCTTCCATCCCCTTTAAAAGTTCAAACCTTTCGAATATTGATTAAACCAGTCCGACTGTATGGATCAGGAACTTGGACATTATCGGTTCCTCTTGGAAGACGACTGGATGGAGCCTATAGAAATCTATTTAGAAAAATCCAGAGAATCAACTGGAGATCCCAACACTTAACTCAGAACTGAGACCAAAACTCTCTTAAGCTCAAACAAAAACGATTGCAGTTTGCCGGCCATTGCCATCGATCTGACAGGGAAACCCGTCTCATACTTACACCTATGGCATCTTTCTGGAAATGCCCTCTCACAAATTTGACTTTTCCAGACACCAGAGCTCGATACTCAGGGTTGGACATTGGGGATCTGGAGACAGCAATGCAGGATCGAACAGTGTGGAAAGGGGTTGTCAATAGAGTTCCGACCAACCATATGGAGGTTGAAGGATGATTTAACTTTGAGTTGAGTAAATATCAATACGCTTTTATTATGACTTTCCCAGACACCATAGATTAGGACAGGGTTGGACATTAGGGATCTGAGGAAAAACAGGACCGAACAGCGTGGAAAGGCATTGTCAATGAAGTTCCAACCAACCTTAGAGACGTCGAAGGATGAAGATGATGATGACGAGATATGAAGCAAAAAAAGAAGAGAAAGAATGAGTATGAATTTGCCGGTCACTGCCACCGAGCGGACACAGAAATCGTCTCGTCCTTACTCCAATTGCATCCTTCTGGAAGTGTTTTCACATGAAAATTGACTTTCCCATACACCATAGCTCGGGACTCTGGGTTGGACATTGGCGATCCCGGAGACAGCAATGCAAGATCGAACAATGTGGAAAGGGATTGTCTATGGAGTTTCAAGCAGCCATAGGGAAGCCGAAAGATGATGAAGATGAATATTAGATTTCATCTTTTGTTTCTTATTTCATCGCCTCTTCAGACAATCTCGCTGACAATAATCGACGCTGACAGTCGTTGATTAATTTTATCTCGGGATTCACGGCAAAAATCTAAATGTAACCACCTCTTCTACTCCAACAGCTTCTTACCTCGCACTTCCCGACAGTAGAACTCCCTTCCTCTTACTTGCTTCCCTGATAGCTATAATCTTCAAATATTCAAATGTAATGTCAATCGACATCTTCTGATCCCTTGATCCTGATCCCGTCCTTCTCTATATCCTTCCATTAAACAACCCTCTTTAATCTTACTCTCACTCTCTGTAAACCCTTACGTGATAGTAGCACTCCTGCCTTGCTTAGGGTGAAATGCTTTAAAAAAGTCATCTAAAAAAATTGACTTTCCCAGACACCATAGCTCGGGATTCAGGGTTGGACATTGGGGATCTTGGGACAGTAATGCAGGATGGAACAGTGTGGAAAAGGATTGTCTATGGAGTTCCGACCAACCGTACGGAGGTCAAAAGGTCATGATGAGTGATAAGAAGCAATAAGAGAGAGAGAAAGAAAGCGATAAGTGAGCAAGAGTGAGTGAGAGAGAGAGAAAAAGAGGGAGAGGGAGAAGGAGAGAGAGAGAGAGTAAGAGATATGAGTTTGCCGGTCACTGCCACCGAGCGGGCAGGGAAATCGTCTCATCCTTACTCCAATGGCATCCTTCTGGAAGTGTCTTCACACGAAAATTGACTTTCCCAGACACCATAGCTCGAGACTCAGAGTTGGACATTGGGGATCTGGAGACAGCAATGCAAGATCGAACAGTGTGGAAAGGGATTGTCAATGGAGTTCCGACCAACCGTACGTAGGTCGAAGGATGTGAGTGATAAGAAGAAATAAGAGAGAGGCGGGGGGAGAATGAAAGCGATATAAAGCAATAAATGAACGAAAGAGAAAAAGAGAAAGTAAAAGATATGAGTTTGCCGGCCACTGCCAACTTAGCAGACGGGGAAATCGTTTCATCTTTACTCTTATGGCAACTTTCTGGATGTGTCTTCTCACGAAAATTGACTTTTCCTGACACCATCGCTCAAAACGCAGGGTTGGACATTGGGGATCTGTGAGCATACAGGACCAAACAATGGGGAAAGGGATCGTCTATGGAGTTCTAACCAACCAGAGGGAGGTCGAAGGATGATGATGAAAGATGAAGTGATACGTAGCAATGAAAGAGAGCGAGGAAAAGAAAGTGATATAAAGCAATAAAAGTGAGAGAGAGACAGGCAAAGTGAGAGATATGAGTTTGCCAGCCACTGCCGACTAAGCAGACAGGGAAATCCTTTCATCCTTACTCCTATGGCATCCTTCTGGGTGTGTCTTCTCACGAAAATTGACTCTCCTAGACACCAAAAGGTAGGGACTCAGGTTTCGATATTGGGGATCTGGGGAGAGCAATGAAGAACCGAACAGCGTGGAAAAGGATTATCAATGGAGTTCCGACCAACCATAGGGATGTCAAAGGAGACAGAGGATAATGAAGACTTTAGTGATTGGGAAAACATCCTTTTGGATGTCGATCCCACAGAGCAATGGTTCGTGGCAAGAAGTTACCCGAGTGGAGCTTACTTCTCACTGATGCAACACGGATAGAGTTAAGGCGTTTCACTACAATCGGCGTGGCAGGACGGGTCCTAGCCGTGAAAGGGTTAGAACATGTGGGACTAAGGAATGTAGTCCATCCTGGCACTTTCCATGGAAATAGCAACAGAGCGGTAACAGGCTTGCCACATCCCATCATTGAGAGAGGGGCTGCATAGTGAAAAATAATTTGTCACCCACAAGGACGGGCGTCACTTTTGGACTTTTATCCTGACTCCATTTTAGGCCTGATCTGGCTCTTGCACGAGGAGTCAGGTCCTTACTAGAGAGGTACAGGGAATCGACGATTTTTCCTGCATCTTGTACAAGGCCTGAGAGCGACTCGACTTAGAGGCACAGTTTTTGCGGATATATGGAAAGATAACAGTTAACAGGTTAAAATTTTACTGTTCGGGGAAACATCCTCTTAGGAGTTGGGTCCACAGAGCAGTGGTTCGCGGATAGAAGCTGTTATTCCATTGTACATGATACTACTGGAGTATCAAAAGGGACTTAACATTGAACATGGCAGACAATCAAGAAAAAGAATATTTTGACCATAGTTCTTATGTTTACGAGGGTTTTATTTTTGTTGTTAATTTATGAAATGTTTTGATGAAAATACTTGTTTGTCTTGGTATATTCAATCGTGTTATTTTTAAAGACTTAGTGTTTGATTGTTATTTTTCAATAATGAGACGAATACAGTGCATTGCAAAAGTCTACACTCCACCTTGAAAACTTGATGTATTTTATTTTGATAGGAACAATTAATATTTTAAACTCCAATAATTTCTTTTAATAAGCAGATCTATCCCACTTTTATTTAATACACAAAATACATTTGAAAATTTTTAAATTGTCTCTTAAACAAAGATAATTTTGAAAAATGTCTTTGCAAAAGTCTACACCCCTTGGGAATGTCTTCAGCTAATACTTTGTGGATGGCCCTGCTGCGTCAATTACAGTCTGCAGACGCCTCGGGTAGCCTTCCACGAGTTTGTTGCAGTGATCTGAAGACAGTTTTTGCCATTCTTCATGGCAGAACTTCTCAAGCTATGTCAGATTGAATGGGGAACGTCAGTGCACAGCCAGCTTTAGATCTCACCATAGATTTTCTATAGGATTGGGGTCTGGAGACTGGCTGGGCCACTCCAAAACTGCGATTATCTTGCTAGAAAACCAAGCTTTAGTGCTTTTTTGACACATGTCGTTATCTTGTTGAAACTTGAAATTGCAACCCAAGCGCAGAGCTCTAGCAGACTTCAACAGGTTTGCCTCCAATATTTCTTGGTACTTGTCACTGACCTTGACACCTAGGATGGTTACCAGCTTTCCAGGCTCTGCAGCTGAAAAACAACCCCAAAGCATGATCAAGCCACTGCCATGTTTTACAGTGGGGAGGGTGTAATAAGGTTAGTGAGGAGTGCCTTTTTTCCGCCAAACATAGCATTTCATATTTTTTCCAAATAACTCGACTTTGATCTCATCTGACCACAAAATCTTTCACCACGTGGTCATGGAACCATTGAAGTGACTTTTGGCAAAGTTTAGCCTTGCTTGCTTGTGCATAGGTTTCAGAAGGGGCTTTTTTTCTAGCTACTCTCCCTTGCAGGTCAGACCGGTGCAATACACTGGAAATTGTAGATGCATGGACATCTGCCCCAGTACTGGAAACTGAAGCTTTCATTTCTTCCAGCGTTGCAATAGGGTTGGAGGTTACCTCCCGGATCAGTTTTGATTTTGCTCTTCTGGTAAGTTTGCTCGCTCTCCCAGATCTTAGTAGGGTAGCAATGGTTTTGTGCACTAACCACTTCTTAACTACAGTTTTAACAGTGCTTAGTAGATTTATTGTATATAGAATATAATTACGTCAAACCAAAATGATCTCTTCAAAAGTCGCATGGTATGCGGTTATATACGGTAGATAAATAGATAGATAATGAACAGACTGAGATAGATAGATAGATAGATAGATAGATAGATAGATAGATAGATAGATAGATAGATAGATAATGAACAGAGTCAGATAGATAGATAGATAGATAGATAGATAGATAGATAGATAGATAGATAGAAAATGAACAAACTACAATAGATAGATAGATAGATAGATAGATAGATAATATAATTACGTCAAACCAAAAGTCGCATGGTATGCGGTTATATACGATAGATAAATAGATAGATAATGAACAGACTGATAGATAGATAGATAGATAGATAGATGAATTTTAGAGATAGATAGATAGATAATGAACAGAGTCAGACAGATAGATAGATAGATAGATAGATAGATAGATAGATAGATACTGAATATACTCGCGTATCATGCGACTTTCGAAGACTTAATTTTGAAGCTAATTTTAAGAGGGTCGCATCATACATGTGATATAAAATTAGCATATGTACTGCTGGCCCTGGCAACGCCTTTGACCAAACTTTCTGTTTTGTCTTTTTTTTCAAAGATTACAATTTGTCTTACTTTTTTTTTTCTCCTTGGAACGAAGAACCTCGCGACTGTCTGTCTAACCCCCGAGATAAACATACAGTAAGCGTTTTGTATTTTTTTTTTTTTTTTTTTTTGCAATGCTTCCATAAAATCACCACTCAAACATTTTAAATTCAGTCAAGATGACACTCCGATGACCGGACGTTAGTAAATTGGCTTCGTCTGCTGAACAGCCAGTAACGACGTGTCAACCAATCGCCGATGGAATCAGTTCATCAAGGACCATTAAAAGAAATCGAACTTGTTTGAAAAGGCAATATGCCTTTGCTGTCCCAATTACGTCTTTTGTTGATACGCGACTGCAAACGCTTTGACGTGTAACAAATCAAAGACAAAAGTCAGAAATTTAAAGGGTCAATCCGAAATAGAGCTTAAACTAAAACCTCCCCTCCCCCACCATCATCTCAATCACCAATTCATAACAACGACTACCACGTTTCTTTCTTTTCTTTTCTTTCCTTTTTTTTGTTTTTGTTTACCCCTCCTACTACCATTTTTTCTTCTTCCTACCCGTCTCTTTTATCATGAAAACCTGTCTCAGAGTTGATCCGCGCTGGCTTAGGCGACTTGCAGGACTGACGGGGTTTGGAGTGTTACGGTCGCTTTTCGTTGAAACATATGGACATTCTATAGCTTAATTTATAGCGAATTGATCCACCCGATAGTGTGCGTCTGCGTACGTTCTAAAGATTGCTTTGTGATAGGCCGTCATTTTGTGGGAGGATCAACTTGAACTGGCTACTTTTGAACCCTGCTAAATCACCCCTCTCCAATTCACTGCATCGACGCCAAACCTAACCTCACCCAATTGTATCCACTTCTCTCCCTCTCTCTGTCACTTTTTCTATTTCTCTCTCCACCTCTCTCTCTCTCTCTCTCTCTCTCTCTCTCTCTCTCTCTCTCTCTCTTTCTTTCTTTCTTGAATCAATCTGATCTTCATTTGGAATCCAAAACGCTCTCTTTCCTTTTTTCTATTGGCGTCTAGTCTCCCTTCTTTTCTTCTCTCTTCTTTTAATTTCTTTTCTCACTATCTCCCCTCTCTCTCTCTCTCTCTCCCTTTCTCTCTATGTCACTTTTGTATTTCTCTCTCTTTCTCTCTCTCTGACTCTCTTGAATCAATTTCATCCTAATTTCAGATCCAAAATTCCCGCTCTTTTCTTTTTTTTATTGGCTTTTTGTATCCCTCTCTTTTCCTCTCTCTCTCTCTCTCTCTCTCTCCTTTGAAATTATTTACTTTCTATCTCCTCTCTCTCTACCTGCCACTTCTCTCTCTCTTTCACTCTCTCTCTCTCTTTCTCTCTTTCTCTCTCTCTTTCTCTCTCTTTCTTGAATCAATCTTATCTTCATTTCGAATCCAAAAACGCTCTCTTTCCTTTTTCCTATTGGCGTCTAGTCTCCCCTCTTTTCTTCTTTCTTCTTTTCTCTCTCTCTCTCTCTCTCTCTCTCTCTCTCTCTCTGTCATTTTTGTATATCTCTCACTGTCCCTAAAATCAATCTCATCTTCGTTTCGAATACGAAACTCTCTGTTTTTTTTATATTCTATTGATTCTTTGTCTTCCTCTCCTTCTTTCTCTCTTCTTTTCTCTCTAAAGAATCCATCCTTACCCCCCTCTCTCTTTTTCTCTCTCTCCCTCTCCCTCTCGCTCTCTCTCTCTCTCTCTCTCTTTTGAAATTATTTACTTTCTATCTCCTCTCTCTCTACCTGCCACTTCTCTCTCTCTTTCCTCTTTCTCTCTCTCTTTTCTCTCTCTTTTCTCTCTTTCTTGAATCAATCTTACCTTCATTTCGAATCCAAAAACGCTATCTCTCTTTCCTTTTTCCTATTGGCGTCTAGTCTCCCCTCTTTTCTTCTTTCTTCTTTTCTCTCTCTCTCTCTCTCTCTCTCTCTCTCTCTCTGTCATTTTGTATATCTCTCACTGTCCCTAAAATCAATCTCATCTTCGTTTCGAATACGAAACTCTCTGTTTTTTTTATATTCTATTGATTCTTTGTCTTCCTCTCCTTTTTCTCTCTTCTTTTCTCTCTAAAGAATCCATCCTTACCCCCCTCTCTCTTTTCTCTCTCTCCCCCCTCTCCTCTCTCTCTCTCTCTCTCTCTCTGTTGACGTCATCAAATGCTGGTCTTCCCTTTCCTTCTCTTTCTCTCTCTCTTTCTCTTATCGCACTTCTATCAAAGTCTTTAGTCTCTTTCTCCTTCCCTCTATACTGACACGACTGAAATCTCATCTCACTCGCTACCAGTTCCCTTCCACGATTTCTCCTCTCTCTTGATCTCTCCCTTTTCTCTTTTTCTCTCATTTCTTTCCTTTTATCCTCTCCTCCCTACCCTCCTCTCTCTCTCTCTCTCTCTCTCTCTCTCTCTCTCTCTCTCTCTCTTCATTTCTCCTTTCTTTTCATTTTCTATCTTTTACCCTTACATGGTTTGCCTGTCGTTTCTAACGTTGCTTTCTTCATCCATCTTTCTCTCCTTTTCCTTTCTCTATGCCCCTTCCCCTACTGACTCAGTTAATTCTTCCTTAAGATTTCTCCCTCTCTTTCTCTTTCTCTTTCTCTTTCTCTCTCTCTCTCTCTCACCCACACACACACACACTCTTTCTTTCTCAATTTCTCGCCTGTTAATATAATTTGAGTGTGGCCTCTTTCTTCTAATATCATTTTTTCTCCTTCACTTTTTCTCCCCCTCTCTCTCTATTTTCTCCCCATTTATCTCTCTCTTTTTCCATCCATCTGTTTCTTTAGATCTGCCCCTCCCAACTCATTTACAAACTGCGTCGCCATATTTTTGATGCTATTTTTAGCGTAATTTTCCCGCATTTTTTTCGCGCCATAAAATCCTTCTGATGTTTCGTTTTACTTTCAATGAAGAACACTTTAATTTATACTTCCCCAAAAGAAATCACTTCTTTCATTACTGACCACTCAGTCTGAATAGATAGATAGATAGATAGATAGATAGATAGATAGATAGATAGATAGATAGATAACACCCCATTTTTCATATCACATTTCCGATCTCATCCGGGTATTTCAGACTCTCTAGCACATTGGCCTTTTGCCACTATTGATTTTTGTTCTCTATTAAAATGCCATAGAGATAGATAGATAGATAGATAGATAGATAGATAGATAGATAGATATGAACAGACTGAGATAGATAGATAGATAGATAGATAGATAGATAGATAGATAGATAGATAACTGCCCATTTTTCATATCACTTTTCCGATCTCATCCGGGTATTTTAGACTCTCTAGCACGTTGGCCCTTTGCCACTATTAGTTTTTGTTCTCTATTAAAAGACCATATATAGAAAGATAGATAGATAGATAGATAGATAGATAGATAGATAGAGAGAGAGAGAGAGAGAGAGACAGACAGACAGACAGAGACAGACAGACAGACAGACAGACAGACAGATAGATAGATATCATAACTTCCGATTTTTAATATTCCTTTTCCGGTCTCATCCGGGTATTTTAGACTCTCTAGCACATTGGCCTTTTGCCACTATTGATTTTTTATTCGCTATTAAATGTCCAGAGATATCGAGGACAAGATTAAGAAATAAAGAAAACACGATGAAGCAATTTATGGCAATCCCGGATATATTGTAAGCTGTTTTGAGAAGTAGGGGATACTCTAGGGTTAAACGTTTACGGCCCAAATCGGTGTACATTGAAGTGGACTAAGGCGCCATTGCCGCTTTTTTAATTAATATCAAATGGCTGAAAAATTTCCGGATAGTTCTAGAGATTGTGTTGGGTAAAAAATTCAGATTCATGTGTTTAGGGTTGTACGAGGGGGTGCTGAAAATTTCACTCTCATATCGTCTCCAATTCTGTCGGACAAAAAAAAAAGTACAGCACTCCCCTGATGTGAAATTGAAATCTCTCGACATGCGTCAATAAACAATATTCTACATTAATTATGAGTCTCCCTCTCTCTTTCTCTCTTCCCACTCTCTCTACCTTTCTCACTGTTTCTCTCCCTCTCTCTCTCTTCCCCTCTCTCACACCCTCTCTCTCTCTTCCCGTCTGTCTCACTCTGTCTCTTCTCTCTCTCTCACTCACTTTCTCTTTCTCTCCTCTTCTCACTATCTTTGTCGTTTACCCCTTTCTCTATCTGTTTCTCTCTCACCTCTCTCTCCCTCTTCTCTCTTCCCTCTCTCTCTTACATTCTCACTCTATCTTCCCCTCTCTCTCACACCCTTTCTCTTTCTTTCCTCCTCTCTCTCCCTTTCTCTATCTCCCTCTCTCTTTCACTTTCTCTTTTCCCTTTCTCTACTTCTTTCTCTTTCCGTTTCTCTCTCCTATCTCCCTCTCTCTCTTCCCCTCTCTCTCACACACTCTCTCTTTCTCTCCCCATCTCTTTCACTCTCTTTCGCTCCCCCTCTTTCTTTTTCTACCCCCTCTCTTTTTCTCTTTCCCCTTTCTCTCCTTCTTTCTCTTTCTGTTTCTTTCTACTTCTATCCCCCTCTCTCTCTCTCTTCCCCTCTCTCCCACACACTCTCTCTTTCTCTCCCCATCTCTCTCTGTCTCTTTCGCTCCCCCTCTCTCTTTTTCTATCCCCCCTCTCTCTCTCTCTCTCTTCCTTTTGTGTGTGCGTATTTTCAACGCCAGTCTCTTTCTTCTGTCCCCTTTCGTCTCCCTAATGTCCCCTGTCTATCTCTGATTAGGTGTCCACCCACTCAATCTGATCTCGATTGAAGACTGCCGAAGTATTGATTTATAATTGGTGGTCGCACATAAAAAAAGGGGGGGGAATTAAAGAATGAAAACAATTCGTCAAAGATGGCGCGTCTGGTTTTTACGGCAAAGGCAGACAGGAGTCGATAATCACAACTATTTTATTATATGAGAACAAGGACTTATTTTTTTTCCTATATAACGGACTCGACCCTCCAGTCATTGTTGTCTCCGTAAGACAAATTTCCCGCATTTGATTGCAATTTCGTCGCCTATTCTATTTAATTTTAACATATATGCAGATATAGATTAAATATATCGTTTTTTATTTTTTGTTTTTTTTATATTTGTTTTTTTTTTTTTTTTCTTTTACTTTGTTTTTTTTTTGTGAACTGATTCTAGACCCAATTTTTACCATTCAAATTTGAATCTACCTTGGTTGGTTGACTCCTAAGGCTATCGTATCCTTAAAGAAGGTTACAAACAGACAAAGGTGGTATTCAAGTGAAGGAACAGCAACACGCGCATAGATGAAAGAAGAGAGGTTTATTATAAAAGAGCATACACTACTGAAAGACAGGGAATCAGGTGGCAGGCTAGTAATTCCGGAAGCAAGGATATCTACCAACCGCCCTACGCGGTCAGATGTGGCACAAGGCCGAATTTAATGTGGTGTATCCGAGCCCGTAGGCTCGGCCAAAAATTCCCCGTAGACCCCGTATAAAACGGGGTCAGGTAGCTGTTTCCCGAGACGAGACTCTTCCCTTCGACATAGCCTCGTCTGGGGATCCTCTCTGCCCCGAGGCAGAGAGTTTGATCGGCACAGCTGGAGACGAATCTCCATCTCAAGATTAATTCCTGAAGCAAGCGCCCAGGTATATACTGTGTTCATCATATATAACTACTGTTATAGTCAGTCTACATACAGTGGGCT